GAGAATACATAGTTTTCATGTTGTGAATCAGGCAGGGTTAGTAGTGTATCATGAGGCCATCTCTGTTGGGTTATAGAAGATTAAACAAGGGAGCAGAGCAGTGAGAGGGGGAGAGAGAAGTCAAGCCACGTGAGGATTTCCCAAGAGCAGAAGCTCAGAGAAATAAAGACCTCCCTCCAGAACTCCGGAGAGAGCAAACCTTCCCTTACAGCCTGGGTGAAGAAATCGTCAATACCAGTCAACAGCACATGTCCTCACCAAAGAGCACCCGCTCCAGGCATCACCTTAGGGGGAGCCCATTAAACACTGGACCACAGATGGCAGGCGAATGTTTAAGTTGATAATTTTGGGTGGCCCTCGAATGATGTTATAAATATCCAAATGGCCCTTGGCAGAAAAAAGGTTCTCCGTCCCTGCCCTAACAGCTGCACCCTGAATTCAGACACCCAGCCTCCTCAACTGTGAGAAAATACTTTTGTTTGTTAAAGTCACCCCTGGTAGGATGATTGTGATAGTGGTACCAGGTAACTAAGACCAGTCTTTAAATGTTTATTTTAGGAAATGACAGTGAAGGCAGGTGAGAGTTGATTTTTAGGGCTGCCTGGGCAATTTAAAAAGTTGACCTTTCTAGGGTCATCTATCTCCTCTACTTCCTGGGACCTGGTTTTCTTTGTGCTGTGCTTGTTTGTTTTTGTTGTTGTTGTTTGATTGTTTGGTTTTTTGGTCTTGTGCTGATTTTTGAAGCCAGGCTGTCTCTGCATCTCTGATGTAGCAAAGCCCACACTAAATGGTAGAAGGCGACCCATTTATTTGTACCAAATCTCAAGTAATAGAACCTTCAGGGACAACCAAAAAATAAACCCCCAAACCCAGCTCAACAGAAATCTTACTTTTCATTCTCAACAACAGCTTTCTCCATAAAAATATTCCATAACCATATCAAATTAGTCATAACACATACTGTTAAGTGAATATCGAAACACTTCTCATCACCTCTAACAATCTGACAGGAGTGGCTTCCATAATAGCAATAAATACAGACAGAACAACATAAATCCAGGAGGTCCTGGGGCGAAACTCTTCCTGTAGTCGAGGGCAGCTCAGCTCTCTCATCTGAAAGGGACCAAGAGGTGGTGACAGTGCAAATCATAGCAATAAAACCATTTCAAACCAAACTTCCCACTCTCTGGAAGTATGCCTTGCATCGTTTGTTACCCATTGTCTACTGGGCATAGGCTGCAGCCAACAGACACAAGAAAGCCCCAAAGAGACGGCAGTGTGACGCTGGAGGCTGAGACCACTGCTCTGGTTGGGGAGGAGGACGGACATGCGCAGTGTCTTCCACCAGAGCAAGTCCTTGTGGTCGCTGACATGGTGTGCCAGTGGAATGCAGTTGCATAAGCATCCTCCCACCTAGACCAAAGGTGTTTCCGTTCTAGGCAACGTTCCAACACAGCCTCTCCTTTCTTCTGAAGGCATGGCAGGTTCTCCACCTCCCTCCATTCTCTTCAGATGCCCGTCACCCTCCGGCACCACCCAGCTCAGGAGGAGTTTGCCCGGGCTGGGCTTTATGAGGTGTCCCTACTCTCCATCTGCAGATGGAAAATCCCTGACCCCAGCTCAGAGTACTTACAGAGCAGTTCCACTCCGAGGGGCTGGATCCTTCCTGCAGAGCTAAAAGCAAACACAAAGGGGCAACACGTTGACCGGCTGGTCCCAAGTCGACGGGTAAACACTCTGACTGCATCCAGGTGGCTCATTAGACAGGTGCTGTGGAAATGCAGGCACCTCGCCGCTGACCCAAATGTCTCAGTTGGCTGGCTACGTGAATGACTCCCTTGAACTCAGAGAACATGTGTGAGGTAGTTAGTTCATTGTGCCAACCTGGCCAATTAACACTGGTGGGGTTAATTGAAGGGCAGAGGGATAAATGGCTCGGTGAGCCTCGCCTTTC